TTTATATTTATATTTATATTTATATTTATATTTATATTTATATTTATATTTATATTTATATTTATATTTATATTTATATTTATATTTATATTTATATTTATATTTATATTTATATTTATATTTATATTTATATTTATATTTATTATTTTTTGAAGGGCTCATACTCAGCACCTTCACTAAAGGTGTCACAGGTATTGATGGAGCTTAATGCAGCAGTTAGGCCAAGCAGAGACCCGAACCTGCAGGGATTCCTGCTTTTTTCCTGCCATGTTCCTACATTTTGAGGTTTTTGTAACTGCAGACTAGTAGGAACTGCTTTTAGTAGCTTTTTTTTTTTTTTCCCCCAGTTACGGAAGCAATGTAAGCACCTTAAAAGGTGTGAGGTGTGCAAATCTTGTAGTATGCTTAGCGTTGCCTGTATTTCACAGAACCATTGCTCACCAAATTTGGATCGAGCTTTCCAGTGCCAAGTAGGGCAGGGATTTTTCAGGTTTGGACTTTCCAGTCAAAAGCACCTTAGGGTTCATTTTCAGAGAACTCTCCTGAGAACTCAGATGCTCAGGATCCTTGATGTGTTGTTTGGGACAAGAGCTGGCTTAAGAGTGAGTCTATGACCAGTCATTAGCCCTGTAGTTCACAACCTCGGCAGTAAAGCTAGTGTAACAAGCAAGGTTAAAAAACGAGCACATTTTTGGTGTTTCTTTAGCCTGCATGATTTCTGTGATTAATAAACTGATTTGTTTTAAAAGCAGCACTGTTTTTAGTAGTGCATTTTTTTTTGTAAACAAAGAGCAGTTCATTTATCCAGTTAATTGTGGGGCCTTACGTACACTGTTTTGCTGACACAGCAGTTGGAAAAGTACCCTTTTGGGGGGCAAGACAGGATATGTGAATTCTACTGTTTTTCCTGGCTGGCCACCAAGATGGGAGGAAAGGGGAGATATATGTGAACGCATACTGGCAGCTTCCCTGAAAGCCAGTCCCATTGCTGAAAACCAGGCAGTAAAAGAGAGGCTATTTCTGAACCCCAGTGAATGTCAGATACCTACAGTGAATGTGATACTTTGCTGTACTGTCCTCATCTTGCTGGGAGAACAGAACATTTTCTTGACAAGTAAACTTAGAACTAAGTATGAAAAACAAGACCATTGCAGCTATTCATCTGTAAGTCATATTTTGTATGTGTCCAAAACTGTATTTTTCAAGTAAGTTCCAGTGAATCCAGTAGTAGGAGGAAACTCTCAATGGGGTTTTTGTTTAGTGAAATAAAATGAACAGTTGTTTATCACTGTGTGGAGTGTTTTGGTATTCAGCCAATAATAATTTAGTACTTAGTAAGAATTCTGCTAAAACATATATATTTGTCTTGCTTTTCTTGATTTCCTGCTTTCTTCCATGCAAGAAATTGTTCCAGAGGTCTAATGGTTCTTTTATCACTAGTGTGTGAAATTTGGAATGCTGTAGAGCCTCATTTAT